AGCCATTCAAAGTAGTGCTACTAATCAATGTCCAGTATGCAGAGAACCAACAGCAGATTTTATAAATGTGTTTATTTAATGTATTATTTAATGTAATATTTAATATACTCTTGCATATATTAAAATTTTAATTTACTTAACTGATTCGATTCTAGAAGATTCTGTTCTAGATGGTGGTTCTATATAATTTGACTAAAACAAGTTTTAATAACTTAATTAAAAAAAATTTGACTGTTAATGATTCTATCCTATCAAAGAAAGCTCAAGTTCGATTTTAAATAGATAAAAAATTCGATTGTCTCATTCTATTCTATTTAAATTCGGTTACAGTGACGCGCTTCAGAAAATAATTTTATCAGGATAAGTTTATAAGGTTATAATTTTTAAAGTTTATATACTATAAACAGATGTTTTAATTTATTTATATAAGTAGAATAAAATTTTAAAGTAATAACAACAGTTTATAAAAATAATTAAATACCAAAAAATTAATAAAAACGTGACATTTTATGAAACTAAGTAACAACTCGTTTTTCTTTACATTTCTAGACACCTAACGTAATAAAAAAATTAAACACTTATTATGTTTTTATTTAAAAATTTTTAAATTTACCTTTATAGAAAAATTATATAACTAAATAATTAAAACAAAAATTAATTTTTTTTTTTTTAATGTTGATTTTAGGTGCTCCAAGAAGTCCTTACGGTCTTATCACAGAGCACCGCGGAAGAGCATTAAATAGGAAGTTCACGCCTCCTTCCTAACCGATGTCGCAAAACTTGCACGGAGGTGGGTTTGAACCACGGATCTTACGTTTCTGAGGCAAGTGCGCTACCACTGCGCCACGGGTGCTTTTCCAATTTTCCAATTTCCAACAAGGATACAGAGTCTTTCAAATATTCAGTTTCAACAAAAAAGGAAAATTGTTAACCAGCACTAGAGAATTATCGTAAACCAGCACAAGAAAGTTATTGTTAACCAGCACTAAAAAATTATTGCTAACCAATACTAGAGAATTATTGTTAACCAACACTAGAGAATTATCGTTAACCAACACAAGAGAATTATTGCTAATCAGCACTAAAAAGAAATGGCTAACCAGCTCTAGAGAATTATCGCTAAGTAGCACTAGAGAAATATCTTTAACAGCATTAGAGAATTATCGTTAATCAGCACTAAAGAATTATCTTTAACTAGTAAAGCCACTTCAGAGGTAAGATTATAAAGAAGACTATTAATGTAGATTAGAAACAATCAAACAAGTATGTAGAAACAATCAAGAAAGTATGGTACTTTGTGATATTCTGTAACCAACTCTGTAGGTTACTGAAAATGCAAAAGATACTACAACTAGAGTGATATTAAAAGTTTATAAAAAAACGTATTATTTATTCGAGCGTTTTAATTATTTTTTTTCTTTTGATATATTTGCCCACCTATACAAGAAGGACATTGTTAACAAGTTCCATACTTGGTTGATAGTTTCTAATGAGTGTTGTTCAAAAAGTCTATCATATAAGACTTTATTGAAAATCTTTGATATTTAAAGAGTAATAGCTCTCGCCTCACCACTTTGACCTGAAGTACAAAAAAATGTTTTTGTTATTATGATTAATAAATATACAGAATGAGAGGATTAGTACAAAATTGAGAGGATTATTATAACAAGAGAGTCCTTGTTGTTTTTTAGAGAGTTTGCTATTGGGCTCCAAATAAATATTAGAGGTAAATTATAATAAATTTAAAAATTATTATTAAAAAGTTTAATTTATAATATCATTAAACAATATTATTGTAAATTAAAAAATCAAAGGTAGTAGTGAACAAATTATTCATACCAGAGTTTTTAAAAATAGGAAATACAGATCTATAGTCTATATACAGCCTGTAAACTACACATGATATAGCATAAATAGAGAGATGATTGAAAAAAAATCTGAAAAAAAATGTTATCCGGACCATGCACGGTAAAAGATTTAAAGTGAGAACTTACAGAAACATGTTGTGTTATATATTTTTGACAACTTTTTGTTGTTAAAAAACTTGGACCCAATATAAACCCAATATGGACCCATAGTTCCGTGTTAACAAAGTTCTAATTATATAGATGAGCAAATATATCAAAAGAAAAAAAATAATTGAAACGCTCCAACAAATAACAAGTTTTTCTAAAAACTTTTTAAATTACGCTTGTTATAGAACCATTCGCATTTTTATAAAATTCTCAAAATTGTTTTAACTAGAATATCAATAAATTTTTAAAAATTTATAGAAAACTTTGAAAAATTTTGATTTCGAAATTCTCAATAAAATTTTATGGACTGTCATATATTTTAAATGTTTTGGTAACCACGGGTAACCATTTAAAATAGGTATCCACTTAAATTAGTATAAGGTATAAAACTCTTTGTCCAACTGACGTAGTAGATACAGAACGTTTTTTAGACGTCTTAACAGCGTCTTGCGAAGTTGCGACTTCTATAAGAAGTTGTGTAGAGTCTTGCGAACCTCTATGCCCTTTTGGATGACAATTCAGAGTTTTTTAACAGGTATGCTAAAAATAGTATCAAGTATATAGCATTTAACAATTATATAACTTAAACAATATATATGGTTTCAAGTTTAAATTCAGATTTATAATTTCTAATTACTTCAGTTAACAGGTTAAAATCCCATGATATACGAATTCTTTATTGGTGACTTCATTTGATTGTTTAAAATTAACCTTTATTAACATGCGCAATTGTAGACAGTAAAAATTATTATAATATAAGTTATTACTTTTATTTTAAGCTCTAACCATTGATTAGTAGTATGTAATATATAAAAAAGTTAATGAAGCATGTAAAACAACAAAATTAACTTTAAAAACAAATCTTTATCATAAACAACTGGGTGTCCATTATGGTTTTCTGTTAGACCAGAGGGATACGCATTTTCTGTTTCAAGCCCTGATTAAAACGCGTAAACATTAATGTATAAAATTTAGGCTAAAAAATAAATTAGGTTTCCCTACTCAGTAAAAGACCGCATCATTGTTTTAAACAATCTTAAAAAAAGTAAAATTTATATTTTTCACACTGAGCAAAAATCGTGATGGAGAATGTTCGATCGCACACTCGGAATAAATGCTAAGAGCACAATGCTTCAATTATTTTGAGAGGAATTTCTTTAGGAATTATCTAAATATTCATTTTAGCCATCATTATCCTTGTCATCGTCATCGCTATTAACAATTAACAATGAGTAAAATTGTGAATGAAGCATGAAAAACTTTAAACATAACTTTATAAAATTTGTGGAAATTTTTACACAATTTTTAAACGCAACTCCGAACAGTCAGAAAACGAACCTAAAAAACAAATCAAGAAATAAATGGAAAAGTATTGCTTTAAATACGCTTGCAGACCGATGCACAGTTGCTAGGAGAAACGCATTTATTCATATTTGTGAAAGTGTTAATAATTCTTGATAAATTGTAAAATGTGGGTAGCCTGGAACTAATGATAATTGGTTTTAAAATACATTTTTAAAATTCCCAAGAAATATTTTGAAGAAGAAACTGTTCCATGCCTCAAATGATTTTGATAGTTAAATTTTTTACTAATTGTTTGCTGCAAAATATTAGAAGCATACAAAATGGTAGCAAAAAAATTTCGACAATCATTTAAAGTAAAAATTGGTTTAACTTTTTTTTCTTTTTTAATTTTTATTTTCCTGTAAAGCTAAGTGTAAGTTGGTATTTTTAGTTTGATAATGCAAAGGAAAAAGGTTGCTCCAATCTGTTTGCTAACCAATAACGAGCTAATTTGCTCTCCAGGGTTCAGGTCATAAGCTCAAATATTTGGCGTATAGTTTTGTTGGAACGTTTTGTTATTTGAGCACTCAGCGTTTCTAACGAACCCACTAGCCGCATCTAAAAACCAATGAACGGTATCAAAAAAGATCAAGTGCGCAAAGAAGTAATTTCTTGAAGCCGCATCTAATTTTTTTCAAAATCTGGCATAAAAATATTTTATATTGCTAGCAGTTTTCTATTTTGCAATTTTTTTGGTTTAAAAAGATATAACATACTTTATCTTTCATAATGAAACAGTAGGAGACAGGGCTTATAAGCGTATATTCCAGTTAGAGTTTGTTAAAAATAAGTTACTTGTCGGTAATGGTGCGAGATGAAAGACAGGGAAGGACAAACTAAATTTAATATGGTTTGTAATCACGTTTTTTTTTTTCAAAATTATAAATATCAGATAAATAATAAAAAAATAATAAATATTTGTTCAAATTGACCAGAAGCATAATCAGGGGTGTGTGTTTAAATATATATATGTGTATATATATATATATATATATATATATATATATATATATATATATATATATATATATATATAAACGCACATATATATATATATACATATATATATATATATATATATATATATATATATATATATATATATATATATATATATATATATATATATATATATATATATATATATATATATATATATATGTATATATTTAAATATATGTATATATATTTTAGATATTGAAAAACGCCTTGCTGTTATTATTATGTTCTTTCATCAATTCTGAAAAATTATCTTCAAAGAAACCAAATATTGTTTTTATAGTTGCTGACGATTTGGTAAGCTATTATATTATAAATACGTACAAACATACAGATGCATATATATATATATATATATATATATATATATATATATATATATATATATATATATATATATATATATATATATATATATATATATATATATATATATATATATATATATACATATATCATATAAATAGTCAAGGAATTTGTATTTTGATTAAGTTATTAATTGAAATTTTTTTTTTGAATTTGATATAGTACTTAAAAAACTTTAAAAATTAATACAGCCATTGGCTGCGATGATTACCATAGTAACATGTTAATTGATTTGTATGAAATACGTCTAGGTCTTAAGCTTTTCACTATAACAAGAAATTATTTTTGACCAGCTTAAAATTGCTAAAGATTCCCCTCAATTTAAATGAACAGAAATTTTTAAAAAACAAAATATTAAACGATTTCTGTGTTTACTTTCTTAAAAATGTTTTTTCAAAAATGCTTTTTTTTTTTATAATATAATATACAAATATCTTTCTGTTAATAAAATTTTAGACGGCAATCAATTCTAGTTTTTAAAAAATGACTCCACTGCGCACGCAGTACTTTATATAACTAAAAATATTGTAAATTTTTCAGAAAAATCCCATTTCATTCTTAGAAATTATATAGATTTATTTTAATTCTAAATTTCACTTCTTACAAAACTGGAATTAAAACTAAATAAAAAAGCTTCGCTGAAGATTTTTAAGGTTGCTAAAAGGCTACAGAAGCAATCGTAAGCAGTTTATCCAAATCATGTTTCCTTGTCTACAATTATATTGTGTTATTGTGTTACAACTCTTGAAGTCCAACAAGGATCTTCACTTGGAAATTTCCTCGTTCATGATGACGATTATTTAATTTAAGAGAATTTAATTTAAGAGAACAAAAGCTAAACATTCTGATCGAAATATTTACTATATATACCAATTAAATAATAAACAGAATTTTTATTTATGTTCTATATTGCTATTTGAAAAGTTTTCTACGAGTACACGTGTTTTTATCAATTTCACGTGAATATATTACAATAAGAGATAAAAAAGAATTTACAAAAGGAGCTATTTTGGTATAAAGTAGTGAACCAATGTTTTATCAACAGTGATTTTATTTTGTTTTAAACAATTCATACTGCACTTTAAATATGTTTGATCAGTTTATAGCGGCACCTAATTTGCAAGAAAAAATTTTCATCTTTTTCTTTGTTTAAAATAAAGCTCACTAAATCATGAGATGCTTATGGCCTAATCCATTCGCATATTTTCATATGTCAATCATCTACTGTATACCATGATATGGTGTTCAATAACTGATTTTAACTTTTTGATTTTGAAATCTTGTATCTTCCAGTATTCCAGTGATCTTCAAGGTTCAAGAACTTATGTGTAAATTTAGCAACAAATATATCATTATTTATAACATAATTATAAGTATAAATACTTTTACTTTTATGGTGTGAATGCATATAAAGCCTTAAATTTTTTTACAATTACCCAGTGGGCACACCAACGTTGGAAGAACGTTAAATAACGTCGTTAGGATATACTAACGTTGGAGAGACTATGGAATTAGAAAGGATGAAAATTATCGAATTTCTCAATGCTAGCCAACGTTGCGATTTTTTTAGAGTTAATTTTTTTTTAAAAGATTTTCCATTCTTCATACTTATTATGATTTTTAAATGTTTACATTTTTAATTTTTAAAATCCAGGGTTGGGATGATGTAAGTTTTCATGGCTCCCCACAGATACCAACGCCAAATATAGATTCATTAGCAAAAAGCGGAGTGATATTAAACAACTACTATGTGTCACCATCTTCTTTTGCTACAAAGACAGAGTTTATGACAGGAAAATACGCAACTCATTTAGGTATGACTTTACTTTCGTATACAAATGTATGTAAACACAAATATATAAAATAATATAAAAATATATAAAACGTATGTGTATATAAAACTATACATAAATATATATAATATATAAAATAATTAAGTATATATATATATATATATATATATATATAATCTATATATATATATATATAAATTTAATTTTAAACAATGTTATAAAAATAGCTTTGAAATTAATTTTGCTTTATCAAAATATAAGCATGTTTCAATTTAATTTCAATTTTTGGCTACTTTAGAACAACTTAATTTATGACTACTATCGTACTAATTATTTTGTAGCTATGTTGATTCTACGTTGAATCATTAATTTTTAATATAGGTTGTAAAGCCTACTGTTAACATATAAACAAAAACAATCTTTTCTGGTATACAGTTTTTATTTGAATGAAAGAGATTTTGTGTAATAATATTCATCTGAGGTAAATTGTTTTCAACTGCTACCACTTTTAGAGAGCCTCTTAAGCAGTCCTCTTGTCAACTCTTAAGCAGTGACTAAAAAAACAAAAACAGATATTAATGTAGACCAATTATGTACCTTTTATTTTTCCCATAGATTTAAACTTGCGTTAAATTAATTCTTGTAGGGATAAGAAGTATTCAATCTTAACAACTCAGTTAATTGGTTTTTGTTTTCTGAGACTAATTAATTTGTTAGTAAGGTTTCCTAAACCCATTTTTAGCTTTCAAAAGGAAGCTAATTAGCTAAATAGCTGTGAAAAGCTAAATAGCTGTAAAAAGTTTAAGCATTAACAACTTTTTGTATTGCCCAAAAATGTTTATATCTTCCAGAGTTCATTGTTTTTATTCTATTGTAGTTCTTTGTGGATTGGATTTTCGTTTGATGTCATTCATCTGTTTTCTAACAAATGTGCTTCTTATACAGTCTCTTTTTTAATTCAGACAGGCTCAAAAGATTTATTTTTCACTTATTTATTTCTTTCTTGATTTTTAGTTCTAACCATTCTAACTTTTTAAACTTGTTGGTAACATTTATAGACTTTTTAAACTTGTTGGTAACATTTATAGACTTTTTAAACTTGTTGGTAACATTTATAGACTTTTTAAACTTGTTGGTAATATTTATAGAACTCAGAAATGATTAGGTATTATCAAAATGTTTTTAAGTTATTGAAAGTTTTTTCAATTTTTTTAATTTTTTTTTTAAAACTTTATTTATTGTTTTTATTACTTTTTATTGTTTTGCAATTTCCAAATTTGATATCATACGATCTAAAAGGTCGTTGTTAACTAAGAACAATTAATACTTTTATTTTTTATGAAAAATTTACTCGTTATTATTACATACAATACTTATTACATATCAATACTCAGGGGTGTGGGAACAAAAATTATATTAGGGGGGGGGGTACTACCCCGTAATAATTTAAAGGCCCTTTTTGTTTAAATCATTTTTTCAATCAATTTCTTTAAAATTATTTATTTAAAAATTATTTGGAGGGCAAATACTCATGCTGCCCACCCGGTTGCTACAGGTCTGATAGTAATATTTAAATACAATTTTTCGTGAGATCAAAAGAGTAAAATTAACATTTTTATAATCTTGTAGCTTTGCAGCGTCTTCTTTATCTGAGTGCTGTTGTGCAACTTACATCTTTGCACGTATAACCAACCTTTGATGGACTCTTATTTTAACGTTTGTAAAAAGTAAAGTTTATTTTTGATTTTGAAAAAATTGTTTCTATTAATCTTCTTATTTATTGATAGATTACTTACTAAAAGTTTAAAAGATGAAAAAATTTGAGATAAATTATGATTTTCATTAAAATGGTATTTTATGGTACCCCATAAAATACCATCAAACCCCATAAAAAAAATGTCTAGCTTATCATACAAGCAAAAATTATCAGCTCTCGTGATAACTTTGTCAGGGGCCCATGCGCCGTTTTTTGGACTTTTTTTTGGAAAGTTTTTAAAAACTAAAAGATTATTGTATGAAGTTTAAAATTTATAAATGACTATAAATGTAATTGAGAATAGTAAAACAATGGTTTAAAAACTCGTTCTCTCAAGTTTGGGGTAGGGGAAGAACTATCAAGGACTTTTTAGTTCTCAGGCTTCAATAATCGCAATTTTTTGGAAATCAACCTTCTTTGGCGTATCTATATTTAGCTATTATAAACGCTAAATAATGTGGCATCCACCCCTCCATGTAACTTGTCGATTCATGTCAATGAGGCATATAGAGGGATATATATATATAGGCTTATAGAGGCACATATTACATAAAAAAATATTGGCACTATGTTATCGTTTCTAATGTGTACATTAGATATGTTTAGTAAAGATAACATTTAGATATAAGTTCGCTATTGATAACATTTATATCACTTCACTATAGATAACACTTATTTTTGCTTTTGAGTGTACTTTTGTTTTCATTATACTATGATTTTACATTTTTAAACTAAAAGTTTTTATTTGCAATTTTTTTATGAGATGTCTAAATTTCATTAGTTGAAGCTACATTGTTTATAGTAAACTTTAAAAAACACAAAAGCTCCCTCAACAGTCCGCTCCACTCCCATTTTATGATTGATTACAATAGACAACTTTATTCTGATTTAAAATTGAAAAAAAGAATTTAAAATGAATCTCTAGTTTAAATCATGTTCAAATTTGATGTTAAAAATATTTAAAAAATGCACCACAAATATTAATTCGTCACCTTTAAAAAGTGTGCATTTTTATTTTATTTTTTTAAACTTCAACATCAGATCAGTACTTTTTTTTAATATTTTGACCTATGTTTTTTAACAATTTTTAACCAAAATAAAATTCTCCATCATAAAAATAGTTATAAAAAGAAAAGAGTAACTCCAATTACACCAATGTTTAACAACTATGTTTATTGATTTTTCATAAATGTCTTAAAAAGTGAGGAGGATAAAAAAAGCTTAAAGATAACGTACACTCAAAGAAAAATTTACTTAATAGCAAAATCTTGTAGTCGGAGAACCTTGCTCAAGTTAAAAAAAAAAAAAAAAAAGCAAGTTCATTTACAGTAATAATAATTTATTTATAAACTTTTCTAAACTTCAGAATGAGCTCAAAACTGAATGATATCTTCAGATAGAGCTCAAAGCCTGTTTTCTGAAACAGTAAGTTTATCCATTTTTTTACAAGAGAGATTGAGATTTTTGTACCTTTGATGTCTGGCTAGTGATAAATTTTACTAAAAATTTATGATGTTGTGACAAAGGGAGGAAAAAGTTAAAAAGGGTCAAAAAATGTGTGGCATAATTTGTAGACAATCCCTTTTAAATAGTTGTTTTTTTACATTGTTATTACTATCGCAATTAAACTGAGATTAGAAAAATTAAAAGAAAGCAAACAAAATTTCTTCTAGAAGGCCTTTAGCTATCAAAAACCTTTCGTGGGGTTGCTCATTTAGAATGTATACGTTTGCAAACATTATGAATATGCCACCAGCATAAACAATCCCTAGACACCAACTGATAAATAATAACATTATATATAAATTTTTTATAGTGCGCCTTCAAAATGGCATAGTAATCATTAAAGAATTAAAATGATTTAGAAGCGAATAAATGTTTGCTGCAAGTATAAAAGAAAAGACAAAAAAAATGCCACATTATTGTTGCTGTTTGCAAAGTTATTAAAGGTTTAGAAATTCTTGTCGAACATTGATAAGGAAAGAATTTTTTGGTAAAAACAACGAACAAATCAGAAATATAACAATTAAAACTTCAAAAATAGAATGCTACAAAGAACTCTTTATTGCGTTCTTAAAATTTTTTGAAATATTTAAAAACAATCAGCTTACTCTATTGATAGGTTGTAAAATATTAAAGTAAAAATTATTTTCCTTCTACTTTTAAATAGCTTTTTTTTTTTAATCTTTATAAAAATACGCTATTTATGAGATCCAGATTGACACTTTGGGACCCCGGTTGACACTTTAAGACCCCGGTTGACACTTTGGGACCCCCAGTTGACCCTTTTGAATAATCTTTTGAAAATATTTATCTATGCTTAAGATTTGAACCGAAACATCTACCAAATATCAACTTTGAACCGAAACATCTACCAAATATCAACTTTGAGCCGAAACATCTACCAAATATCAACTTTGAAACCAAATATCAACTTTGAACCGAAACATCTACCAATTATCAACTTTGAAACCAAATATCAACTTTGAACCGAAACATCTACCAAATATCAACTTTGAACCGAAACATCTACCAATTATCAATTTTTGAACCGAAACATCTACCAAATATCAACTATACGTGATAGTGAAAAATGAGTTGCATATTTGAAATCATCATGGAAAACGTTATACAAAAAACGGATTGATTGCTCGGCAACGAAAAAAATTTACACAGTCTATATCAGACATTGATTTTTAAGAATATAAAAGACGAATCTTAGCATCATATCATATCATATTTTTAGCGGTACATAAAATCTTTGGTGTCCTCTGATAACTTGATGCCAAATTTTGTTTTTGCAAACTTTTGAAAAATAAAAACATTCTTAGAAGAGTAGCCAAGTATCTCGATCTTCAGAAAAAAAGAAAAGTATTAAATGTCTTTTTCAAATCACAATTCGTGTACTGTCCTCTTGTGTGGATATGTTGTAGTAAGCAACAAATGCAAAAATTAATAAGTTACATAAAGGGGCTCTTCTAATGATATCCAATGATTACGAGTCGACATTGAAAAAGCTTTTAAAGAAGAATAACTCTGTCTCAGTACATCAAAGAAATTCGGAATTGTTAGCTATAGAGATGTTTGAAATTTAAAATGATCTTAACGAAAACTTACTAAGCCACATTATATTCGTTTATAAGGAAACGCTCAATACACGAAGTAATGCTTACTTTAGTACCTCTCAAATTAAATCGGAATTGTACGGAAAACACTCACTTCGCTATCTAGGACCATTAATTTGGAGCTTGATCCCAATAGACAGTTCTTCCTCAACCAACATCAAAAGTTAAAAAAAAAAATTAGAATGTGGAAGGTAATTAAATGCCCATGCAAACTATTTCATGAATAAATGAAAAAAAAAACAAAAAAAAATAGTTTTTAAAATTAAAACAAATTTACATGTGGTAATAGATCACTATCATTGATTTATATAGTTCTTCGTTTTCCTACGTAAAAAACGGGACTAAGTTAGGTGGGCACAAATATTTACTTACTTAAATTTGCTCGAGCCGTAGCGCTGTTCTGGCTCAGAACCAAGTGATTCGTGGTTTGATGTCTGCGTTGATGCTAAAGTAAAAGAAAGTATTTTTCTGACGAGTTTTCCTAATGAAATTATTTAAACTAAAAGATACGGTTTTACTGATAAAAAATCTTTTTAAACACAGTTTAAATTTATCTTTAGTCTATATTTTATCATTTAATTTAAATTAAAGCGCATTTCAACATTACGCGGTACAAAGATTTAAATATGCGTTTAAGTTATTATAATAACGATTATTATCACTATTTCTTGTGGGTTATTTAATTAGTCATATCTGATGCACAGAAAAACAAGCTGAGCATGACAAAAAGAATTTTTTGCTTACCTGGCGAGCGCTCTACCTCTACACTACGACCCCATGTACACTTGAAGTTAACAATTTTGTTATTTAAAGTATATTACTAGAAATACCTTTAATCTAAAAGAAATAGTTATTTTTGAGCATTTAATGGACTATTCTATCTTCCCTAAAAACTCTGGTTAACTAGTAAATGGATAAAAATTCAAAAAAGTTAATTGATCTTTGCATCCCTGCTACTCATTGATAGCTTTATTTAAAAAACTTTTTTAATTAAAGTCCTTCTCTAGCTAATAGTTTTTATGTGTGTATATGTGTTTTTTTGACAAAAAAAAATCGTCAATAGCTAAGTGGCTATATGTTAAAATCTTGTTAATTGATGAAAAAAATAAATCATTAAAATTTCAAAGCATTATTCCAATAGTAATAGTATTCCAATTCCAATTCCAATAATTCCAATTCCAATAATTCCAATAGTAAATAGTAAAAGCTCAATTAACTATAGGGTAAAGCCGGGCTAGTTGAGTATAGGGCAAGTTGGGCAATTAAATTATCTTAAAAATTACGCATCACATAAAAAACATCTAATGGATGAAAATTAGGGAATTAGAATGTTAACACAATGCACAACAAAAGATTGCTGGAAAGTATTTGAGTAAGATACAAGTAGGTTAATTAACCTGATACTCAAAAGAAGCAAAATAATATATAAATTTCAAAAAAAATAATTGTTTTATAAAAAGTATATTATATATTTTTTTTTATTAAAAATTTGTAAAAATGTAGATTTTTTATTTGCAGTTTCTATGCAATAAAATTTAAAATAATAATTGCAGAATGAAATATTTTTTTTGAAAATTTTGGAAGATCCAACATAACATGCATTTGAAAAAAATATTTTTCCAAATATTTTGGACCTGTTAAAAAGTAAAGTTAATTGAGCTGTCTTCAAAAGACATTATTTATGCTTGTAATTTTGAACTAATTTTCCTGACCACAAACTATATCGAATCATATATATATATATATATATATATATATATATATATATATATATATATATATATATATATATATATATATATATATATATATATATATATATATATATATATATATATATATATATATATATATATATATATATATATATGAATATATATATATATATATATATATATATATATATATATATATATATATATATATATATATAATTTATATTGCAGGTACGCAACATGGTGTTTTGCATAACAAGCAACCTTTTGGTTTACCACACACTGAAAAGATACTTCCTCAGTATTTAAAAGAGGCTGGATACAACAACTATGCTGTTGGAAAAGTACGTCATTTTAGTTTTGAAATAATTTACAATTATTTATATATTATATATATTTATATATTTTGAAGAAATAAAACTAACAATTTTGCTAACACCATGGCAATGCCACGGGAACACCATGGCAAGATAACTATGATAACAATTTTTGTTGCTTATTAATTTATTTTCAAGTGTATTAAAATTAATTTTGCATAAATACATTAAAATAGTCTTTTGCGATATTAAACATACTAACATTTACTTACTCAAATAAATAAAAAATTAAAGATAATTTTATTTTCTCACGACCTTAACAAATTGTTATCTTGCCCAAGTACTAGTGCAAAATAACTTTAACCTTTGGGCAAGATGACAATACCAAAAATAATTAAAAACTTTTTATTGTTTGAACATGTTACATGATTTAACAAATGATAGCGGTGTTTTTACCTCTTAATGTAATGTTGAAGTGTTTAGATGTACCGCTAACAATAGTCACAAATAAAAATACTGTTTTCATAATTGGTCACCACTCTTGGCATTAACAGCACTGAATTTATTCTTCTATTGGATGATCACAATAATCCTCTTTACAAGCAGGACATCTTATAACATCATCCTTTGAAGTTGATGCAATTAGACTGTTTGTTCTGGATTTAGGCCTACAGAAACTTAGCTTGAGTTTATATACACCCTTACTAGCTTCACGAGTTTCTTTTCTTTGTTTTTTAAAGCTTCTTGATCTTTGTTTTGCTTTTTTATTTGTTTTGAAAGTTTTTGGAAGTGTGTACTTGTAAGAATGCTTGCGCTTGTTTTATCGCTTTTTTGTTTCAAAATTTTCAGTTTTGAAATCGAAAAAATTAACCAACTTCTTTGGTGCATCGAAATTAGCATTTGCTAATTCCGATGCACCAAAGATGGTTTTCTACTATTTGGGTCTGAGGATTAGCATTATTATTCTCAGTTTCATTGCCAACAACATTATGTTCAGTAGTTTTTGCAGCAGCACATTCATGTTTGCTAAACACAAGTTAATTTTTAAAGCTCGTTCCCACATTCTTTAAACTCATTACGATCATTTTCAACTGCTGCTTTATAGTAAACGGTGCTCAAAAGATCATATTTTTTCTGTGATAGGTTGTTCTGGATGAGTTACGATAAAGTTGTCATATACTTTGCTATAATAGGTCATCAAGGGGCTGGAGACGATGTGATGTGTGTGGGGGCAAGCCAACCAAGATGAGTTTTTTCTCTCTGCAATGTAATATAGTCTCCAAAGTTATACGAGTTTTGTGATTGTCAATAATCAATAGAGCAGGAGATTCTTTGCTCTGTTTCACGTCTAAAAGTGCTTTAAAAATAATTGAAAAAGGTTTTATTGTTGCTCCAGCCGCTATTCCTACAGTGGTCTACAGTTTCTGGTGGGGCTCCTTCTACAAATTCAGGAAACATTTGTTTATTGGCAAAAATCAGAAAAGGTGGCAGGTAAAAGCCAGTAGCGCCAACGCAACATTTATAACTACAATTCTTTCTCTCTTTACTGAAACAGTTTTAGAAGCTCTTCTAGTTCCTGTCAGACTGTGAATTGTGGGTTACTTATTAGGCACAGTAGACAGAACTGACTCATCTGTATTGTAGATTGAAGAAGTAGGGAGTTTATACTTTTTCCGTTGCTCCCTTAAAATGTTTAAAAACTAGTTTATGCTTAGTTTATTGAAACCCATTGCTCTGGCCATCAATGTTGCTTCTGGTTTGCGTACACTAAATTTAAGTTTCTTTTTAAAACTAGCCAGCCAATTTTCTCCTGCCATCTTTTTATTCTTGTTAAACGGATGCAAAATATCATATTTTCTAGCAAAGTCAAAAGCATTAAAGACGTCTCTAAATCTTCCGCGAATCTCCTAAAATAAAAAGTAGCATTCCAGTAAAAAAAATCCAGGAATTTTACATATTTAAATACAGATTTGATAACAGGATTTATACTAAGAGGTTAGAGCAATTAGTTACTAGGTTCAAATTAATATTTTTCTTAAAATCTGTTTAAAATTCATCGTAACATTTTTTTCAGCTTCTGGATCATAATCATGATTAGTTTAACAAATTTCAAAAGACGGGGGCAAGATGAAGAGCTCGCAAACTTGCCGCCATCATCTTGCCATAGACTGCAGTGTAAAAATATTCGGTTTTCTTGCTATTAAGGAAGGCAATTAACTGACTTTTTTTTGGAAATAGGTAGTACTTAAGGTTAGTTACTTATGAAGAATAAAGTGAAACAAAATAGCTTACCTATATCTATAGCAGAGATTATTTACACATGCATAGTAGTAGCGGTAAACAATCAAAGCTTCACAACTAATACAAAAATGACGATTTCAACGTCTCTATACACTTTTTAACGAAAAGTTTATAGGAGAGTCAGTAGTGTACAATTAATGCTGTCATCAAACGAAAAAATGAAAATTTAAGACATTCCTCATCTTGCCCAGGTCTTCCCTAACTAAACTATTTTGAAGTTTAAAAACGTCTTGCGCTTAGTAAAATGGACTCACGAACTAATAGAAAAGTATCTATTACTTCTTTTTCAAGGCAACACCTGGAAACCAGTGTATTTTCTCATACATTACTTTTTAAGAGAAACTTTACCCTCACCCCCAACCATTCACCCATCCATTACACGATCCCACTCTCTTCTTAAAGTAGTCTGCAAACAAAAAGTAATTTTAAAAAACTTATATACCAATAGAAAAATATTTTTTTTTTGCGCTATGAACGCAGCTTTTTTTGAGATGCTTTGAATTTGCGAATTGAAATTTTTTTATTTTTTGAACAATTAAAGAAAAATTTTTAGTTAAAATATTTTTTCTCCGGCTTTTTATTTTTGGCTTGGTTACATAAATTTATGAGATAAATTTAAATCTTTTTACTAAATCAAAGATAATGAAAAAAATTCAAAAGCAGTTTATTCTTATTAATTGTTCATTATTTTAAAATTGTTCAATAATTTCATTAATCTAGTTGATAAGAAATCTTTTGTTTTTGTTTTTCCTCGAAGAACCGAAGATGTTTGCTCTCTGATCTGCGCTTAACATTTTAAAATGCGCTGGTATTTACAAATCCATCATCAAGCGCTCAAAACCCTACATATAATAGTAGTGACCCCTATATATAAAGGTGGTGAACTAACAAATGTTGGGAATTATCGTCCAATTTCAGTTTTGTCAGTTTTTTCCAAAATTTTTGAAAGAATTTTATTTGATCGAATTTTTAATCATCTCTCTGAAAATAATATACTTTATCACAATCAGTACGGTTTCAAAAAAAATAACTCAACAGAACACGCAGTACTTCAACTCACAAAAATTATTACTGACTCCTTCAAAAAATCACAAGTTACTTTAGGTATTTTTATAGACCTATCTAAAGCCTTTGATACTATTGATCACGCCATTCTAATAAATAAATTAGAACATTACGGTATCACTGGTAAAGTCTTAATGTTATTAAAAAGTTACTTAAATAATCGTAAACAATTCATGCATATCGATAGACACTCAACAACTACTGCTTTAGATATATTCTATGGAGTCCCCAAGGGTTCCATACTTGGACCACTGTTATTTATAATTTATATTAATAACCTCTATAAAATTTCTAATCTAATGACAATAATTTATACTGACAATACTAATCTTTTCTTATCCCGAAATAGCATCAATAACTTATTTAATGACATGAATGTAGAACTAAAGAAAATATCTGACTCGTTTGAACCAAATAAGCTTTCACTTAATACTGAAAAAACTAAGTGGATTCTTTTTCATTCAGCTTATAAAAAGCATATACTACCAAGTGAAATGCCGCCGCTTTTCATTGATAAAATTAATATAAAAAGAGTAACTTATACTCAATTTTTTGGTATTATTGTGAATAAAAATCTTTCATGGAAAAATCAAATAGGAAACCTAAATAAAAAATTTCAAAAAGTATTGGGATTCTATATAAAACAAGAAGCATTTTAAATATACTTTAATTCAACTATATTACTTATTAATTCACTACCATATTAACTATGCAAATATTGCTTGGGGTAGTACCAACAAAATTAAGTTAAAGCCTTTGCTTTGTCAACATCTTTGTAATTTTTTCAATTAACATAATTTTTAATTTTTAAATAATTTTTAAAAATAACATATTTTTATATTTTTGAATTATTACATATTCCACAAAATAATTAAGGAACTGTAATCTTAGATTAAATACTATATATTACTATTATATATATACTGATGAAATTTGTAATTTTTTAAGCTTTTGTTTGCTTTTTTTGTTTGTTTGTTTGTTTTTGCATAATATTAAATACTGAGAAAAATATATATATATATTCACATATATTATAAAATATTGTTAAAAGTTGCTTAACATCTAAAGAGTATTATAATATATAAACGCATCTAAAAATTGTTTTAAATATTTGTAAATTTATTTATTTATTTTAACTCGTGATATAGATTGTAAAGGGCTTTATGACAAGACCGTGTGATCTTCTGGAAGTCCTACCAGTAATATATTCAATGTAAATTTACCTTGTACATGTTATTCTGGAAAAAAAAAACATTTTCTAAAGAGTTAGTGTTTCTTTTTCCCTCTAACTTATCAAAGGATATCTGTGATTCTGGCTAAGTGCTGTCTGGATGAAAATTTACTCATATTCAAAATAGGTCATCGTACAGGTTTTTGAAAATAATAACAGCCCTATTTCCGTTTTCTCTGCAGTTAGCAAATTAATGAAAAGAATAATGCATGGTATCATGACTAAGCACATATTAAAGCAAAAACTTTTATTTTAGCACGAACATGTTTTTTTTAGATCTAGATCGTGCGTTACAAATCTTTGAAGTGCTGGATATTATTACTGAAGCTTTAAGCAATGACTTTAAGCCACGTTGTTTATCTAGCTAAATTTTGCCAAAGCTTTTGATTGTGTGCAACAATTTATTTTTCATCTCAAATTGGCTAACTGTGGCTTTTGCAATAAGATTCTCGACTGGCTCAAGGACTATCTAGACTGTAGGAACAGCGTGTTATTTTAGGCAATTTCTTTTCTGAATGAATGGGCGTCTTAAGTTATGTGCATCAAAGATCAGTCATAGGACATTAACTATTTTTGCTTTTCATTGTTGAAATGCCAAAATTAGTTAAAAATACTAGCAGACGTTTTGGCAATAATAGCCAGTTGGTTTCCAAAACAAAACCAATTATGGACTTTGCGTTAATATTTTATGTTATTAGCCAAGCCTTTGATGCATGGAGTTTGCATAAACAAATGCAAGGTTCTAAATTTTTATCGTAATTCCACAGAAATTGATATTCCCTTGACTATGTTAGACTCAAAAAATAATCGCATTCCTTTTTAAGATCTACGATAGAACATTGAGTATCCCAATCAATTGTCAATCTGCAAGATCTATCGAGAGAACATTGAGTATCCCAATCAATTGTCAATCTGCAAGATCTATCGAGAGAACATTGGGTATCCTAATCAATTGCTACTCTATACTTGAGATACTCAAAAAAGTTTTAAAAAACTGGAATTTTATATATATATATATATATATATATATATATATATATATATATATATATATATATATATATATATATATATATATATATATATATATATATATATATATATATATATTTAAAAAGTTTTCTACTTTATGTTTTTTCAGTATTTTTTATACTTTTTATTACATCAGCAAAATTTTTTTAAATAATTTTAAGTTACTAAGTTTAAGTCTTATAAAAAATATTTTTATTTAACTATTTTTAGTGGGCTCTAGGTTACTACAAAGAAGAGATGTTACCTTGGAAACGCGGCTTTGATTTTTTCTACGGTGGACTAACCAGCTCGGGAAAAGACTATTACACTCATTCTGCTTTCGACGAAAACTACGGTCTTGATTTGAGAAGAAACAATGAAGTAAGTAAATAATTTTATCTACACTAAATATATTTCCAAAGTTTCTTAATACTTTTCATAAGTCTAAAAAATTCGTAATTTTATAGTAATACCGTTACTTTGCTTTTATAGGTTATTCATAATGAGACTGGAAATTATATTACAGAAGTTTATACTAGAGAGGCTGTAAATATAATTAAAAACTACAATGACAATAAACCGTTGTTTTTGTACGTTGCTCACCAAGCGGTTCATACTGGCAATGCCGATGATCCACTTCAAGCGCCCGAATCCTACCTAAAGAAATTGAATCATATTAAAAATATAAAAAGAAAACTGTTTGCAGGTTAGTATAAAATTGTGTAAAGTAACTTTTTGTGTTGCTCATCTGCATCTTTTTGTGTTGCTCATCTGCATCTTTTTGTGTTGCTCATCTGCATCTTTTTGTGTACTTTATTAATTTATTAGATTAGTTAATTCGTTATTAATTTATACTTGTAATAAATCTTTCTTTTTTTTTATTTGCCAAAATAAATAATGTGAATATTATTTTTATTTAAACGAATATAAATATTTATAAATATATATAAATATTTATGTAAATATTTTTAAAGGAATGGTACTTGCATTGGATGAGTCTGTTTTGAACATAACTATAGCTCTTGCTCAAAAGGGTCTGCTAGATAATACAGTAATTGTATTTACTACAGATGCCGGTGGCGCTGTTGGAGGACAGGAACTTAGTAGCGCTTCAAATTTTCCGCTTCGAGGATCAAAACTTACAGTTTGGGAAGGAGGTATTCGAGCCGTGGCTTTTGTATATAGTGACTTAATAAAGAACAAAGGTATATATATACTTTTTTGCTTTTATTTAAATGTGCTCATTATATGAGGGTCTAAATCTTTGGAAAACATTTAAGATCAAAAAATACATTTTTAGGTAGAGTTAGTCTTGAAATGTATCATTCTACAGACTGGCTGTTAACTACATTAGGTTTGGCGGGTATAAATACTAAAGGAATAAAAGTAGATGGATTTGATGTTTGGAAGTCCATAAGCGAAGGTGAAGTGTCTCCACGATTTGAAATCCTTCATCAGTTTGATCCTTTGACAAAAAATCTTTGCAGTTTAAGAGTCGGAGATTACAAGTTGGTTATCAACCAAGATATTGGTTTTTATGGTGATTGGTATCCACGTCCAGCTGAAATCGGAGAACTTCGTTATTTAAAAAGAATTGAAACCCTGCCAAATGCTAAAGTAACTTGCGATAAAAACTATCCACATCCATTTTTGGAGATGCATGCTCCACCTTGTGACCCTATGAAAAAACCTTGTATGTTTAATATCCAATGGGATCCTTGCGAATTTCACAATTTGGCAGAATTTATGCCAAATACACTTAAAGTCCTTTTGGATAGGTTACAATTTTATCGTTTAACGTTAGTTAAACCTACATACCCAAGCGTAGATTCTCAAGCAGATCCTGAAAATAGCGATGGTGTTTGGTCTCCCTGGGTAAACAGTTCTATTGCTTTAATGACTTTCCACCAACAGCAACCAACAATAAAACTTGATACACTAAATACAAATAAAACTGTTTTTAACGGTAACCAAATGGCCGCAAACAACAAAGAATCTACTGAAGTTAATCTATCTGCCCAAACAAGTAACAACGTATTAGAAAAGACAGTTCAAGTTACAGCAACAACATCTCCACCACTCTACTCCATCATGGATCAGGTAGTTACGCCTTTGATTTTGGGACCTGGTTTGATGGTTAACTCTGCCAACGAATCAATAAAAATTGAACCAACTATACTTTTAAGTAACAACCAGTTTAACCAGTTTGAGACATCTCCACAAATTGTATTTGATTCAGGTTTCGGGACTACTCAGCCTCCCCCAAAGCTTATAACCTCTTATCTAGTAAAGAATATTTCAGAATATGAATCTCCAGCTGAGTCTAATGTAGTAAATTATGTATTAAACTCTTCGACGCCATCATTTGTTGACCAAATTTACAATAAAAATATTAACAAAGATACTACAACCATTGTAAACAATGAAGTACCAAATCAAATAACGAATTCGGTTGTTCAAAGTACCTACGTACCCACTGAAAAGTCACATCCAAACAATCTAGTACTTGAAAATTTTGACGATGTAAATAAAGCATCTAAAAGTATAGAAGACAGTAGCTTCGGAATTCAAATTATTAATAGAAATGCGTCAAAGCAACTAGAAAACTCACGTGTTCATTTAACTGATAACGAACTTCAATCAATTAATAAAACGGGTAAAATTGACATGGTTGGTAAAACAACTGAGGTATATGTTGTACAAAATCAAAATAGCTTAAATCCTTTACAAACCAACTTGGTTGAGGATAATTTATCTTTAAATAAAAATATTTCAAAGGTTGTTACTTCAGTTACAAACGATGGTTTATTTTTTAACACTATAAATAACGTAGCATCTGTGAACCAAAATAAGCTTGTATTAGAATCAGGAAACCAAAATAAACTCAAAACAACGATTCCTCCAATCATTGATTACAATGACATCACTGGTCAAGGTAAGCATGCGATGCCTTTTCCCAATCCTGGAGAAAAAGCTTCTGCTTTTGGTTCAATTAAAATTTCAGGTGCAACTGGAGGGACGGGCTTTGTTTTGAGTAAGGCTATAGCTGGAGAAAATTCATTAACTCACTTTAATGTATTAAACAATGATGGATCTCAGACATCAAAGGTTTCTTTTTCTAAAGAATTTAATCCACTGGGACCTAGTGTGAGTGGCAGTAGCGCTTCCACACTTCACGGTTCGCCAAACATTTATTTAACTGAAAACGCAGGAATAAAACCATTAGTACCACACAATGTTTCTTTACCATATTCAGACTTTATTCCAAAATCTACTTATTCACCTCTCATAAATTCACCGATTTACTCAATACCTTCCGTTCATTCATCCGAAATACCTATAACAACACTTCCTCCTCCACTGACATTAACTTCTACATCACAATACCCTTTATTATACATTTCAACATCTCCATTATTAACAAAATCGTCCCCGAAATCTTTGTTTACTTCACAAGACATATCAGATAAACAGTTACCGCAAAAGTTTTCTCCAGCATTCCCTCCAGGATACACTAAAAAGCTAAATTTTTTTGCACCATATATGCTTGATTCTGATTCAAATGTGGTTTACTCAAATAAATTTAAAAATAATAATATAACCCATTATTTTGCAGGGAAAACTGGAAAGAATCTGGGATATACTCCATCATCTGGGATTACTCCATCAGCGATATTGCCTTCACAAACAGTCCCAGTGGTAAATGGAGTGACAAATAAAATTATAGAACAAAGCGCAGTATCAATAACTCCTGAAATGATTCACAATCCAATTGAACCGTCTCATCCTGGTATTGTTGCTAAGTTACCTCCTGCTGAAAAATACCTGCCGTTGTCTGCTTCTTTACGTCCTGAGAATAAAGAAGAAAAGCTAAAAACAGGAAGTGCATCAAAAGGTTCACTTTCATTGGGAAGTGGAAGTGAAACATCCACATCAACAGAAACAGAAGTTAGTGCAAACTCATTAACAGAAGCGAAAACAGATTCAAAGTTACCAGCGCTTCAAAAACCTTATATTTTAGCTAATTTAAAAAATATTGCTGATGCAGGTTCTTCTGGTAAAACTGGTTTATCAAGTGAAGTTGCGTTATTAACTGGATCTGATCTTGGACCTGGTAAAGTTCAGCTTCCTTCAGCGCAAAATTTTATTAAAGAGCCAGAATATCAGTCAATAACAAAACCTGACTTTGATAAACCACAAAATCCTTTCAAACAAGGAGGATCTTCTTCTAGAATGTCAGCTGGATCATCTGCAGGTGGAGGTTCAGAAACAGAAACGGAAACCGTTGTAGGCGCTGGGGCAAGTACTGGATCTGGAACAAAAATTGGAACAAATCAAGGCAATAAAGGACCTAGAGTTAAATCTAAAAGTTTTTCTGCTAAAGGGTCAGCAAAGTTACTTAAACAAAAAAACACTCCCGAAAGCAATAAACTCTCTTCCTTTAAAAATAAAGGATTAAAAGCATCTCTGAATCCTTTAGCAGGACATGAATTAGATTCCAGTGACTTTAGTTTATTAAATTTGCAACAGAGCAATTTTCCTAATGCTGTTATTGCTGGATATCGACCATTTCAATCCGTAAATGATGTAATAAGCGATTCTGCTAATCAAATGTGCGGTGAAAGTAGAAACTGCATCAGCAAGATGCCAATCATTAATTATCAAGAAGCCACTGAGCCTGAAGAAAAAGTCAAGCTATACCAAAACAAAAGCTCTGGAATTGAAATTCATGAATCTCAAAACATTTTCAGATCAATTAAAGCTGGCATTCAGGTTACGGAAAGTGGTGATAGGACACAAGCAACTAGCAACCAATTGCCTGTCAATAACAATCAGCAATCTGTTGCTGTTAATAATTCCCATAATAAAACATCTAATCGGCAACCAAAGTTAGATGAGGCTGTAATAAATGGACTACCAGCCCAAGAAAAGCTACACAAATTTTTTGGAGAAATTAAAGTTGACAACAAGAAAATGTTTTTTATATCAGGAACAGCAAGCGAAGACAAAGACCTTGTATATACACAAACCGATTCAAGCGGTCTTTTGACACAAAATGACGTGCGAAAACATAATATTGGTTTTAATGTAGTACTTCCTTCTAATATTGTTAAACAGCTATCTGCTCCTGAATCTCTCTATGCACCAAAATCAAAAGTTGAAAACGCTACAAAGACACAAGGCACCTTACATAATATTGGTGAAAAAACATCCATTCATCAAAAAAATAAGCCTATTACTAAAGTTTTTGATTCGGTTGCAGACACTGCACGAAGTAGAAAAATGAAAGTTGAAAGCCCACCTGTTGAAGAAAATCTTCCTGGTATACGTGGAAACATTGAAACAATTAATGTTGAAGTAATGGGAGGCATGAATGGAGATATTGGAGCAACTAAACCATTAAAAGGTTTATTAACAAACAATTTTTCATTCATTTATTTAACTTTTATTTTTATAATATGTAACTCATAAGTAAGCTAGAGATATCCTTAAATACTGTTTTGAGACATTAAGATAATACCTATAAATATTGTCTTTGTGTTAATTGAGTAACAAAAAAAAGATAGTGATAAATTACATGAAAAGCAAGTATTATATTGGGATGTTCCGGAATAATGAAACATTTTATATATTAGAACATTTTTTAAAAGATATAAAAATTTATTAACAAGATATTTGAGATATTATTAAATTAATTTTACATATTTGTTTTCCTAAAAATAAGTGTTTAATACTTGTTTTATCAAGTTTTATTTTACTTAACTATATTATGAATTTTTATTTATTTATTAATTAAGGAGAGAAATACAATTATACTTACAATATTTTCAGGTGGTCTTGGCGAAAGCCGAAAATTGAGCGATGACTTCGTCAAGTCTGAAATCATTAATGTCACTGATAACGTCATAGAAGCAAAAATTGAACCCAGTAGTAATATTGACGCTGGTGATTTAGGTTCTATTGTGACTCTTGTTGGAAAAGTTAAAGTTGATCGGCTGAGTTCAAAGCACATGAAAGGCAGTCACAATATAACAAAGGAAAACAACGCTCACAAAAAGACAGTAAAAGACCATATGTCTGTTAAGCAACCGAAATTAAATAGCAGCACCGAAATAAACGCTGCAAACATTAACAGCTTAAAAGGTCCAACAAACTCTTTCATTGTGTCGTCAGTAATAGTTGTACTGTTGGCATCGTTCGTTGTAGTAGGAATGGCTGTTGTTGCGGTCGTTGCGGTTGTTGCTCGGCATTGTCGTGTAGCAAAACACTTTGATGCAAGTTAAATTGTTTGTGCTTTCCGAAAAAAATGATTAAAATCTGTTAAAATACGAGCCAACATAAAAAAAAACAATAAAATCTGATGTTTGTATCCCGTGTCGGGATTTCGTGTAAAATGTCATGTATAATATTTGGGGTTTTGCATTCTATGAGTGCCAAATATCAATATATAGCCGAATAATGTATTTGAGTTAGGCTGCATATTGGTCTTATGTTATTTTTGTATATTTGTTACAAGTTCAAATTCAGTTCTTTTTTTCGATAAAAAATTGATATTGATGATCGGGTCACGTTTCCGCACAACGGTAACAGTTTTAGATAATGGAACAAAATTTTTTTTAAATGTTCATTATTTTGTACATGACTAGAAAATAGAGTATATAAAAAACAATTAGTAAAACTAATTATATACTTTTTCATTACTAGGTTGTTTTTGATTTTTATTTTTTATTCGGAACTTTAAATAAGAATAGTATTTAAAAAAAAATCAGAATAATAAAAATAAAACGTTAAAATCTTATAAATTGCTATTATTCTATGGTTTTGAGATATTTAACAGTTCAAGTTATGTAATTTTGTTATTTTTTTGCGTATTTTCTGAGCTTGAAATAAATCACAAAGTTTTTTTTTTAATGTTTTCTATTAAACATCCGTAATCGCCGAGATTAGGTGATCTTAATTACTTTATCGCAACAATTGGCCTAACAAATACTGAATTACACATGCATTGTTTGGGAAAAACGATCTGTGTTAATTTATTTTGAGAATTCTGAACCAATCATTGTCTATAGTTTTGTTTATACCTGATAGACGCACAAAAAAAAAGATTTAATTTTTTAAGTTTGCTAAACTTTGTCGTTTAAATTTTTACAATACAATAACTTTAAAGATATAATGTAGAAATAGTAAAAAAAAAAAGTTTCCTGGTTATGGTCATTAAAAGCTACTGGTTATGGTCATTATATCGATTATAAGTTAATCTCTTCCTAGAATTTCTTTGAATTCCGAGAGGCTTCAGTGACTAAATTCTCCTTGTGTGTAATAATAATTATCAAATTTTCATCCGTGAAAAATGAAACTTTTTATAAAAATTATTAAATGTTTTTTAAAAACTAACTTCATCAACTTCGTCTTGTTTTACTATGTAGAACAAATGTAGCAGATATGAACAGATATGTTGTTTTAACTTCCACCATAGTAATATATACATTTAAAAAACTAATAAAATATAAACAAATACAAGTATTTAACAAAAGCAAAATATATACCAAACACCTAACATATATATTATCAATAAAACTATAAAAAATATATATAAATTTTTAAATATCTAAAAACATATTGCTTAGATATATCTAAAATTGTTCTAAACTAATAAAAATTAACAAAATTAATTTTTTTTTTTTTTTTTTTTGATTCTGAAAATGCATTAATCATTTAATCAAAAAACTTTCACACAACTTTTTTTCAAGAAGAGCTCTAGGAAGAGCTCTAGGAGTTTTTTTAAAAAAAATTAATTTTGTTAATTTTTATTAGTTTAGAACAATTTTAGATATATCTAAGAAACATGTTTTTAGATATTTAAAAAAATATATATATATTTTATAGTTTTATTGATAATATATATGTTAGGTGTTTGGTATATATTTTGCTTTTGTTAAATACTTGTATTTGTTTACATTTTATTAGTTTTTTAATGTATATATTACTATGGTGGAAGTTAAAACAACATATCTGTTCATATCTGATTTTGAGGATAAAAAAACAATTATGGAGAGAGCAGTTAAATTAAAAGGAACCAATATTTTTTTAAACGAAGATTTAAGTTTTACAACTCGAATAATTCGAAAAGAACTTTTTGATCTGGCGAAGATTCATCGTCAAAATGGCTATTTTGCGAAAGTTGTTTACAACAAACTTATTGTTCACGAATTTCGAGAAAATACCCGCAACTCAGATGTTAATCCTACTTGCGTCAACGAGTAAGCATTTTGAGTATTTTTTTTTTATTATTATATTGAACATTTTTAAATTAGTTAATAATAATAATAATAATAATAATAACTCTAATTTCCATTTTCCTAATTTTGAAACAATTTTATTAGAAAGACAATTAAATAAACGCGGTGGAGGAATTCTGATTTACATAAAACAAAACATTGCGCATAACGTTAGGAATGATCTGTGCGTTTCTGATGGCGATAAAGAAATCGTTACAATTGAAATTTTAAACAATAAAAGCGAAAAGTTAAAAAGCAAAAGCATTCTACTAAGTTGTTGTTATAGACCACCTGGTGGTGCGTCAGAAAATTTAAGCTTATACTTAAAGCACAACGTTTTTCATAAAGGTAACAAAGAAAAGAAAAAAAACTTTGTAATTGGCGATTTAAATATGGATTGCTTACGATATAGCGAAAACAAAAAAATAAAAAAATTTTATGATGAAATATTTGTATCAGGAGCAATACCGCTTATAAACCGGCGTGCTCGAATAACAGAAAACTCAACCACCCTTATAGACAATATTTTAACAACAAATATATATAACAAGGACATTCAAATAGGCATTATAAAATCAGATATATCAGACCATTTCCCCATTTTTCTAACAATTAACACAATTTCAACTCCTAACATTAATAAAAGTCAAACTATAAGAAAACGTATTTTTAACAAAAAAAATTTATAAGCATTTAAATATCAATTATCATTATTAAACTAGAAGCATATAAATTTTAATGAAGACATAAATGCAATCTATAATAAGTTCTTTAATACATTCTTCTCGGTGTACGATGCGAATTTTCCCGTTTCCGAAATAACCTTAAAACCAAAAACCTTAAGTAGTCCTTGGATTACCAAGGGTCTCAAAAAATCTTCAAAAATTAAACAAAAATTGTATATAAAATATTTAAAAACAAAATCTCATGCTAATTTACGCATATATAAAAATTACAAAACTCTATTTGAAAAAATTCGCAAAAACCTAAAAAAAAATTATTACTCTAATTTAATCACTAAATATAAAAATGACTCAAAACAAATATGGAAAATATTGAAAGAAATAACGGGAAAACAGAAAACCTGTTCAAATTTCCTTCCGAAAATGATTAAGATAAACAATGTATGTGTATATGAACCAAATGAAATAGCAAAAGAGTTTAATAAATATTTTACTGATATCGGAAGTAGGTTGGCTGATAGGATTCCATCTACAAATATTTCCTTTAATGATTTTTTGACAACTTCAAATAATTTACTTTCTTCCCATGACTTATTCCTAGACTTATCGATTAAAGAGTTTGAAAGAGCCTTCAAATCTTTAAAAAAAAACAAAGCAACCGGTGCGGATGGAATAAACGGGAACATTATTATAGATTGCTATGAAAGTTTGAAAAATATTTTATTTAAAGTTTTCCAAACATCAACAAGTTTTCCAAACATACAACAAGTTAGTTTTCCAAACATACAACAAGGGGTTTTCCCTGATCTATTAAAAATTGCAAAAGTTATCCCGATTTATAAAGAAGGAGAAAAATCAAACGTAAATAATTATCGCCCTATTTCTATCCTTCCTACGTTTTCAAAAATATTAGAAAAAATTATCTTCGAAAAAACATACAACTACCTGGTTTCAAATAATTTACTATATAAAAATCAGTTTGGCTTTAAAAAAAATAGTTCAACTGAACAAGCCATTATTCAATTTACACGTGAAGTCTCAAATTCTTTTGCTAAATCACAATATACACTTGGTGTTTTTGTCGATTTATCACAGGCTTTTGATACAGTCAATCATGATATCTTACTTAAAAAACTTGAGTTCTACGGAATAACTGGTAAAATGATCAAATGGTATAAAAGCTACTTGTCAAATAGAAAGCAATTCGTCTACCACGGAGAAGAATTGCTGCCTATTAATCTTCAAAATAAAACATTAATTGAAATAAAATGTGGTGTTCCACAGGGTTCTATCCTTGGCACACTTCTCTTTTTAGTATACGTCAACGATCTAAATAAGGCCTCGAATCTTATAAGCATCATGTTTGCCGACGATACCAATTTATTTTTGTCAAACAAAGACATTAACAAACTTTTTTTAGATATGAATAAAGAACTTAATCAAGTTTCTAACTGGTTTAAATGCAATAAATTAACCTTAAATATCGAGAAAACAAAGTGGATCCTTTTCCACTCCTCAACAAAAAAACGCTTTTTGCCTTATGATTTACCTAAACTTTATATTGACAAAGTAGAAATAAAAAAAGATTCCGTTTTAAAATTTCTAGGTATTTATCTTGACGAAAATATGACATGGAAAGCTCATATTGATTATATATCAACAAAAGTTGCGAAAAGTATTGGTATCCTCTATATATGGCCAGAAATTATCTAAATAAAAATAATTAAAAACAACTATACTACTCATTTATTTATAGCTATATAAACTATGCAAATATTGCCTGGGGAGATTTTAAATTTTAATTATTTTAAATTACACAGGTAAAAGTAAGTTGAAACGTCTTTACCGCCATCAGAAACATGCAATGCGAATAATATATTTTTTAAATCGTTTTTCAAATACAAAACCTCTATTTAAAGATATGAATGTATTAAATGTTTATGAACTTAACTTGTTCAATATTTTATGTTTTACGTTTTGTTGTATGAATAACCCCTTATTTCATGTTTTTAAAGATCTATTTACCTTTAAAGTAAAGAATAAATATAGTTTGCGAAATAATAACTATTTAAAAGAACCCTTTTGTCAAACAAAGTTTAATCAGTTTTGTATAGATTATCGAGCACCTTATATCTGGAATAAAATTGTACAGCCTAATGTAGATTCATCTATCTCTTTTTCTGTTTTTAAAAACAAGTTAAAGAATATTATTTTTTCTACGGATAATATATTGAAATATTTTTAAGATATTATTTTAACCATTTCTTATTTCAAATGTTTTGGATTCTTATTTTGTTATAAACTACCTGTATTATACTATATTATATTTATATTGTAATTTTTATATGGCTCTGGCGACAAGATCAATATGATCTTCTTCCAGATTCCAAGTTTATATGTTTATATTACATGGAAATCACGACATGTAAATAATGTAAACTGAAAAAAAAAAAAAAAAAAAAAAAAAGTTATTTAAAAAAAAAAAAACTAAAAAATGGCGTCGCTTTTTTCAGAGAAATTAGCAGGGGCGGATCCAGAGGGGTTCAAAGGGTGCTCTAGCACCCGTCAACTTTCAACAAATAAAATTTCTTATTTCGTTGCATTTTTTTATAAATAAAAATTGGTAAAATAGTTTTTTCAACTCAAAATTTGTGATTTCATTTTTTGTGAAGGAAGTAAATAATTACCTATGTTGTTGTGTAGAACTTTCCGTCCAACGCTAGCGTATTTTATATATAT